ATGCAGCCTCAAAGCTTCTCTGCCTCAGCTGAAGTCGGAACTTTAAATAAAAAACCAACTTGAGTCTCAACTCCCTTTATATTCTCTTCAACAGATTCTTCTATGCCCCCAACAGGTTAACTTATCCAACACTTTTGTGGACCTTTTCTCACCTCCACCTCCCATCTACAAGAGCCACCTGCCACTTCTACCAATACTACTTTCTTAACATCAGGCCAGGAATTCTTCACAGCCCAATTCTTCCAGGAAGTCTTCTCAACAACAACTAACAGGAATCCTCAACAGGGAAGCCCATAACTCTGTCTTTGCTTCCTCTTATGCGCAGCTTTTATACTGCCATCCTTTCTTCAAGTATGAGCTTCTGAAAGTAAGAGCTATAATCTCATTCTGTAGAGTGCCTAGATTTGGCCACATATGGGATGATATTCAGCAGCTTTTGGTGCTGAAAATTCAACCGTTAATATATATATATTTAAAAGTGCTTGAAATATGCGATGAAGTAAGATACACTGGCTTCTTATTTTTGGGAAAGAATTGGCAGTATGACATTACATTCGCTGAGAATTCTTAATACAAAGCAAGAAGGGCTGGGAAGTAGCTGACCATATTGTCCCCAATTTCCCCATGTTTTGCAGGCCCTAGAGAATGACAGGCCGGGTAGAGATCCTATGGGAGGGAAAGGTAACAGTTAGACTGAGCCAATCCAGGTCAAGAAGATGGGTTCCCTTCTATCATTTCCCCAGGGGCAGGCACTGCTATGGAAAGCCCTGCTCTGTCCCCAAGTTACTTTTTAAAATAAGATATTTCAACTCAAAAATACATTATTTCTTTGGAAAGACACAAGTTTTCTTACAGTAATTTATTATTTTTCTTATTGATTTCAGAGAGAAAGGGAGAAGAAAAGAGAAAAATCAATGGTGAGAATCATTGATTGGCTGCCTCCTGCACGCCCCACACTAGGGATTGAACCTGCAAACCTGGCATGTGCCCTGACTGGGATTTAACTGTGACTTCCTGATATCATAGTTGGACACTCAACCACTGGCCAGGCTTACTGATTTTTAGAAAGAGAAACATTAATGGGTTGTCTCCTGTATGTGCCCTTATTGGGATCCAGCCCACAGCCTTTTGGTGAACAGGACAACACTCCAATTAACTGAGCCACTTGGCCAGGGCTGTCCTCCCCAAGTTACTTTTTATTAATCTTACTCATTTTTATTCAAGTAGAGAAACAATTGCTGAAACCAGTCATCTGCCAAGGTAATCATGAAAGGCTTGGTAATTTCAGCTCAATGATCTTCCTGTTCATCCTTCTTAAAAATTATTAAGCATGATGTTCTACAAAACCACAACAGGCATTTATATTCCAAAGCTTATAGTGCTCAACACCAACGGCAAGGATAATACTTTCTATCTAAGATATACCCAAATCATAGAGCTGAGGTTTCAGGGGACCCTTTCACCTCCCAAGCACAGTAGGCTTCTAGAATATTAAGGACCAGCCGGGACCGGTTTGGCTCAATGGATAGAGCGTCGGCTTGGGGACTGAAAGGTCCCAGGTTCGATTCCGGTCAAGGGCATGTACCTTGGTCGCGGGCACAGGGGGGTGTGCAGGAGGCAGCTGATCGATGACTCTCTCTCATCGATGTTTCTATAATAATTCTCTATCTCTCTCCCTTCCTCTCTGTACAAAATCAATAAAATATAAAATAAAAAAAATAGAATATTAAGGACCAATTTGATGACAGCAAGGAGGATTTTTGATGACAGAAGTTTTACATTCACATAAGCAGCCAATATAGCAGGGAAACAGAAAAACCCACCGTGGTGGTCTGGAGCCCCTTGGTGAAGGTTTTTAAAACTAGACAAAACTTGCTGTGACTGGTTTGGCTCAGTGGATAGAGCGTCGGAATGAGGACTGAAAGATCCCAGGTTCGATTCCGGTCAAGGGCACATCCCCAATAGGAGGTGTGCAGGAGGCAGCTGATTGGTATTTCTCTCTCATTGATGTTTCTAACTCTCTCTTCCTCTCCCTTCCTCTCTGTAAGAAGACAATAAAATATATTTAAAAAAACAAAACTAGACAAAACTTGGTTTTGATACAACTCATGGTTGCCTTGGCAGGAAGATGGATTACAGGGAAAAGCAAGCAAGCAACCACCTAGCAGAATAGCTAACATTTGCTGAGTGCTTACTACATGCTGGACACTTTGTATTAGTTAATTTAACCCCCTCTAACAGACCGAGGGCCAGAAATTTAATACCATGCTCAAAATCAAAGTGCCACACCTAGGAAGTGGCAGAGCTGAGTCACAAACCTAGGCCTTCAGCATGGCTCGAGCCCTTACTCTCCAGTGCCCTCCTACGCTGCCTCTGCACAGAAGATGAAGAAGCTTTCAGGAACTGGTAATGCTGAAGAGGGACTGAAAAGGGTCAGTACTAGAGGTATGAAGGGGATAGGAGTACAGAATAACACCAGGTTCCTTCTAGCTTGGGTACAAGCTGGATTCAGAGGGCATTTGGTAGCAGAACGAACACCTCCTAGGTGTCAGTTTGACATCTAACAGGACAGGGAGATAGATGGTGCAGGATGCTGGGGAAAAAAACAGAGAACTGACTCCAATGGATAGGCCAAAATGAGTGAACTGCCAAGTGCATAGAAAGCAGCCTCTCAGTCATGGCTTTGCCTCAAACACCTCCTTCGTGTGAAGTGGGTAACAGAACTATCAGGAACGCTTTGTCAAGTATATGACTGTCTAACCCCTATGCAGTACACCTGGAACAAATACAAAATAATACTGAATGTAAACTATAATTGAAAAACAAAATAAAAACACCCAAAGAAAACCCCCACAAACAAACAAAAGAAAAACACCGCCGTAGTTAAAAGCTGGCCCTGTTCAACGGCGATTCAAGAGGCACCCCCGAGGGTTAGGACCGGTGAAAAGTACCTGCAACAATGAAGGGAAAGGGGTGCCATGTGTGGAGCCCAGGACTTATCAACACCCCTCATCTAAGAAAACAAACCCCCTAGTTAGGTGGCCAACTAGAGAACTCTGGGCTAATGTCAAACCCGGAGGCGCAGACAGGGTCGGCGTTAGAGGAGGGATCTTTCTACCTTTGATGCAGTCTCGCCATCTGCCCCGCCCATTCTCGGGCTGAGGAGTTTGCACCGCAACAACCAGCGGGGTGCATTCACTGGGCACTGAACACGTGTGTAATGAGTGCACGAGTGAATGTGTGAGCAGAGAGGTGTGTGGCCATTTATGCACCAACAAGGCCATAGTTGAGACCCTGAGCGCTGCCCATTCTAGGAAGCACACTTCTTCACACCCGCCTTTCCTACGGCTGCCGAGGCTTCCAGATCTGGCCACCGACTGCTTAGGTAGGTTCAATCCGTAATAGCTGAACACAGGTCACGATTGTGGGGTGGCTCCAAAAGCCGGGTCCCCCCCGACGCGGGTCCGCTGCCCTGAAGCACCCTGGGACTTGTAGTCCCCACCCGGCGCGACCTCAGCCTCCCCTCAAGCCCCACATAATACTCGCCAAGGGCCCTTGCTCCGTGTGTGGGCCCGGGCAGGCCACGGCGGGCCGGGGTCGCCCCTGGACAGGAGGTCGGGGGAGGACAGGGTCAGTAGGCAGAGGAGAGCCCTACGGGTCGGGTGCCAGCCAGGCGGCGCCAGCTCCCAGCCAGATGGCCGCTGGAGACGGCGGATGGAGAAGGATGCGGGCGATACTACTCACCATCATCTTGGAAGCTGCTTCTGTGGCCCGCTGCTCCTCTCCTCAGCTCTGTGTCGGGGCCGCCCAGCAATCCCACAATGCTCTGCGCCAGACAAATCCCCAGAAGGTTCGACCAGCGTTAAACCGGTAGTGGAAGGGACGGGTCACTTCCGTTACTCTATGGTTCGCTACCAGCGAGTTGGTGTGGCTAGAAGGGCTAGAGGTGGAGCCTCGGAGGGCTGGCGCTCTGGCGATAAACTGGTTATCACCAAAATTTGGTCGTGCTTTTTTTTTTTTTTTTTTCTTTTTTCTTTTTTCCCTCTGAGCATGAAGGATCTTTGCTTGGCCCGCGACACCAACTATCCTTAATTCCATCTTATCCCCTCGCCCTGGACGCCAAGGAATGAAATAAATGCAAACATTTATTGAACGCTGACTGTGGAGCAAGCTTATGCTAAGTAAGCTCTTAACATGAGTTTTTTCATTTAATACTCACAACCCTGTTTCGTTGGTATTGTTATCACGTACGTTCTACAGATGAGGACACTGAGTCTGGGAGCTTAGGAAAGGTGGCCAAAGTCACAATTGCACAGAAAGTGGTAGAGAAGCTGTCGTGGGGCACCGGGTCCCGATGTCCGCTTTCTGGCTCTGCACTGGCCAGAGCCTCCTCGGGGATGGCTGCACCTGCCGCGTCCTCAGCGCTTCCACTGGAGCGGCGCAGGCACCGGTGGGACTGGGCAGGGGACGAGCTGGAGCGGGGCGCCGGGGATCACCCGGGTGCTGGATGATTATCTTCCCGAGGAGGGGTACGGGAGGAAAGCGAACTGGGAGAAGGCAAATCCCGCCGAGACCGCAAGAGCTGCTGCAGATTTTTTGCGGCTGAAGCGAGTGTGGCCCGGAGCCCACCTCCAGTTCCTGGTCACCCCCTGCCAGCCCACCCACCATTCCCGGAGGTCCGGAGAGTCCAATCCGAACTGAGGAATGCTGGGGCGGGGCTGCGGTGGGGGCCGCAGTTGCTGTTGAGAGTTTAGACCAATCAGCCCTCGGCCCCACTTCTCCTGACCAATAGGAAGTGGGCTGAGGCGCAGAGGTAGAAAGTGTGGCTAGAAGAGCAGGCGTTACAGCCAATCAGCCGTGCGCCTCGTTCCCGTCCGCCAATCAGCGCCAGGAGCGGGCCTGGGGGCGGGAGGCCGGGGCAGCTGTCAGGCTGAAGTCCGGCGAGCTACGCGCGGCGGCGGGGAGGCTGGAGGGAGCGCGGCGCCCGGCCGGGCTCGGAGATGGTCGTCGGCGCCGCGGGCTGGTGGTGTCTGGTGCTCTGGCTCCCCGCCTGCGTCGCGGCCCACGGTGAGCGGCGACGGGCGGGGCTGTGCTGTGGGGCGGGCCGTCCAGCTTGCGCGCGGCTCGGGCTGGGGGCCACGGGTCACCTTGGGGACCCGGCGAGTGCAGGCGGCTGGAGTGGGTGGGTGCTGGTCCTTAGGAACTTGAATTGGGCGCGGCCTGAGCCCTACATCGAAGCAAGATTCTCCCTTACCCCGACTAACGCCGACGCAGGTGGCTGAGGGAGCGACCGAGAGGAGGAACAGGGACCACTGGAGATCCTGCATGCTGTTGATATGTGAGCACATATGGTCACACACATCCCTACACGTGGGCTCACACATATGCACATGTGTACATAGACAACCTGTTTGCACCTACACAGGCACAGAAATATATATACTCTTACGTATACCACGCTTAATTTATGCGGATCAGCAAATGCAAAGGCCAGGCACAGATGTGTGTGTGTGTGTGTGGTGGGGGGTGAGGAGGGATTTAGTGCTAACCCAGGGAGGCCTTCTGATGGCAAGCTCTCATTCTCAAGATAAAAAGATGCATAGCCCAGTGCCAAAGCAGTGGAGCTCTACCTGGTGGCTGATTTGGGCAGTAGACAAGGACAACTAAAGCCGCAGCCAGCCCCAACCCTGGCACACAGTGGTGGGTTGTTGATTGACTAATGGTCCGGTGGCAGCAGCTCTCAGTCAGTCTCAGTGGACTAAGGAAACCAGAGACTCAAGCTTAGGTGAAACATTATACTTTGGTGCTAAAGAGTTCCCACACCCCAGAAAAACCTGGCTCTGGCAATTCTCTTCCTCCATGCAGGGGAGCTGGAAATAGTTGTTTATTCAACAATCCTTATTGTGCACTCGCTATATCCTAGCCACTATGTTAGGTAATGTGGATACAGCATGGAATGAACCTATAAACTCATGATCCTTGCTCTAGTGGAGGAGACAGACATTAAACAAAAATTACGAATAATCCAGAATTACAAATTATGTTGGAAGTGTCGATGGAGGAAAAGTGTATTTTGAATGGGCATAAAGGGAGGGCAGTCACAGAGCAGATTTCTCTGAGAAAGTGCCGTTTAAGCCATGGCCTAACAGATGAGTAGGAGTAAGCCAGGTGAAGAGGGGGAGGAGGGGTGAGGTGAGGGTAGACAGCCTCCAAGAGAGCAGCTTGCAAGATGACTCAGAGTGCAGACACTGAAAGGAGTCCAGTGTAGCTGCAACAGAGGAAGGAAATAAGGTTGGTGTAGCAGCCACGGGCCAGGTAGAGCAGGACCTTGCAGGCCATAATTAAGAGCTTAGATTTTAAGTACTAAGGGGAGCTTTTGATGGGTTTTGAAGCCAGAGAGTGATGACATGACCCTATGTTTTAAGAATACCCTTGGCTGTTGTTGGGGGAATGGACCTCAGAGAGCAAAAAGGGAAGGCAGACTAGTCAGGATGAGAAATGATAGTGGTGGAGCAGAGGGTGGCAGTGGGACCAGAGAATGAACATTTCAGTTTTAGGAGAGTGTTTTGTATCCAGACTAACATATCTTCTCCTTGAAAGTCTCAGGTCCTCTTCAGAGCAAAGACAGATGAACCCTCAGAGATCACACGAGAGCCGTCTTCCTGGCTCACCTTTGTAAACAGCAGCAGTTATAAATCTGTCTGTACTAACATTTACTAACTCTGCATCAACTCTGTCCTCCCTAAGGCAGGGACCATGCCTCACCCACTGGAGGACCCACTTGGCTGAAAATGAGTCCTGGGGCCCTGACCATAGACAGTCTTCCTGACAACACAGAGTCCCTGGGGGCTTCTCATCTGTACCTTTTACTTTTCAGGGTTACGCATCCATGATTATTTGTACTTCCAAGTGCTGAGTCCTGGAGACATTCGATACATTTTCACAGCTACACCTGCAAAGGATTTTGGTGGCATCTTTGTAAGTTTGGGGAGGATCGCTCCTCTCTGATCCTGTCGCCATCTTCTCCTCACTAAGTTGAGGTGCTCCCTCTCCTCCCTTCAACCAATACTTGAGAACTGGGACATGGGAGCGAGCAGTGCAGGGGCTGCAGTGCAGGAAGGGCCTCCAGCTACTTCCCTGGGCGCCACGGAGGGACTCATTGTCTTTGGGAACATGAAAAACCAAGGGCCCTGCTAGCTGTACTTCTGAATAACTTAAGGCAAGCTACTTCCTCATTCTGGGACCGTACCAGCTCCCTTGCCTATCTCCTGGAAAGGGATAGGACAACTATTTTGTGAGAAGGCAGTAGCCAGCACACAGAAACCACTCCACACCTCTTCACACCTTGTGAGGAACTGATGAATAGGATGTCAGCTCGGTCCTAAAGCAGGCGCACTCCTCACCCTGCAACCTGTCTAATGTTTCTTTCAGCATACAAGGTATGAGCAGATCCACCTTGTCCCCGCGGAACCTTCAGAAGCCTGCGGAGAACTCAGCAATGGCTTCTTCATCCAGGACCAGATCGCTCTGGTGGAGAGGGGGTGAGGCGTGGGGAGGCACTGGCACAAGGGAAGGGCAGGAATAGGGAAGCTCCTAAGATCAGTGGTGGTGATGGTCCTTTGAAATAGTTCTTATAATTCATCATTTTAAGAGTCTTTAAGATTATCCATGCTTTTTGGCCATTTATTTGTGAGCCTTTCTGAAAAATTATCTATGGTCTGTTCAGCCTCCTAGGGGAGGGGTAGCTAAGAGCCTGCCTTTCCTTTAATCTCATCACCTTTTCCAGGGGCTGCTCCTTCCTCTCCAAGACCCGGGTGGTGCAGGAACATGGCGGGCGGGCAGTGATCATCTCTGACAACGCAGTTGACAATGACAGCTTCTATGTGGAGATGATCCAGGACAGTACCCAGCGCACGGCTGACATCCCTGCCCTCTTCCTACTCGGCCGAGATGGGTGAGGGTTCCTTGTCTCTGGAGGTCAAGGGCAATCACCAGTCCCTTTCCCACAAGCCTCATCTTGGGGTGAACCAGTTGGAGGGTCAAAAGTCCTCGGGCTCTGGAACTCCCAGAGTGATGGGGACAGTGGGGCATGATGGGGTGCTGAGAAAGTGACCATCACCACCTCTTTTCATGCCCTCCCAGCTACATGATCCGCCGCTCCCTGGAACAGCATGGGCTGCCATGGGCCATCATTTCCATTCCGGTCAATGTCACCAGCATCCCCACCTTTGAGCTGCTGCAACCACCCTGGACCTTCTGGTAGAAGAGTTGGTCCCACCTTCCAGCCAACTCTAGGCTGGGAAGGGGGAATCCAGAAATTCTGGCGATTGGGACTTGGAGATAGCCTTTGGGGATAAGGGAGCCAGGTAGATGAAAAAGGCTCGGGCTTAGCTAGGCTAAGGAAAGTCACACTGTTCTCCCTTCCCCTGGGCTCCCAAGCTTGTCTCATGCTATGGGAAGATGCAAGCCTCAGGGCCTCTTGGCTAGCATCTGGAACAAAAGGGGCTAAAGGCAGGTGGCCTGAGGGCCATCTGTGACCTGTCACATCTCACCTGGCACGGCTCCAGCCTCCCCCACCCAGGGTCTCCTGTGTCCTTCACAGCAGTTACTGGGGTGGTTTAAGGAGCTAGTGTTTGAGGACTTAATAACCCCTCACTGACTTTTAGCAATAAACCTCTCATCAGGGTTGCAACTGTGTCCTAGAAAAAGAGCACATGGGGGGGAGGGGGGCTTCAAACTCACCCATCTGGCCCCATGCCCTCGTGTTGAGGGGAGGAAATTGAAGCCCAGAGTCTAGAAATGGCTTGCCCGAGGGCCCTAAGGACCTCTGCTGATTGCTAATCTTGGATCCCGACACAGCCTCCTGCTTAAGATCTTAGGAGCCATAGTCCCCTGGGGAGAAGGCTCCTCTTGCTGCCTAGAGCTGGGGAACCATGCTGCCCATGAGGATCCCTGCTCTGGGGCTTTAGAACATCAGCAAGGCAGAGCGTAGGTGAGACCAGAGTTGAGCCTAAACTGGGGAGCTAGAGCTCCCACCTCTTGCCATTATCTGGTCTACCTTTCGAGCCTTTCACCACCCACATGGCTGCTGTGCGCTCCGGCAGCTTGTCAAGTTCTCCACCAAGCATTCCTTCAGAGGCCTGTCACCACTCATGTTTTATTGAGAACAGTGGGCAGGTGGGGGTAGGAGGAGAAGCTGCCTGCTGTGAAGGAGCAAGAACCCAATAGGCCAGACAGGCAGGCACCTGCCTTCCTAGAATCCCTTAGCAGGGGGTGTGAAGATCCCTTAGGGAAGGCAGGCAGAAAGGAATTGCAAGTGATGGGTTATAATTCCCACAGCACCCAAACCGAGAGGGGTGCTGCTAATTTGGGGTTGGGGGATACAGTCAGGGCTAATCTCCGAGTATCTAACCCAGCTCTTGTAGGTTTCTGGAAGACTTCAGTGTTCCTCTGTGGAGACACTAACGATGGACTGAGGCCCATATTCAACTGGTCCCAGGGGACCATCCTATGATGCACAGGCCTGTCACCCGCCAGGTCTCAGCCATGCTGCTCGAGTCTTCAATGGGAAGTGGTGTGAGGAAGGGGTAGTGATTACCCACACGCCCCTCCTGAGGGAGGCAGAAGCCTTCTCCGTACCGTGGAGCCAGCCACTGTGCCAGGGCCTGAAAGGCAAGGCACAAAATAGAGATTCTGGAGTTTGGAGGAGTTCAGCTCCACTCCCCCAGATGTCCAAGGAGAGGAAGTCATTCCCCCGGGCTCAGTGTCTCCTGGCAGAACGCCTTAGGGAAAGTGCTCCGGAGGCCCGGCTCCTCCTTCCTGCCTCACTCGGCTGTGCTAGTAGTCAGGCAGTTGCCTTATTAGCTACCACGATGGGAGGTGGGGAAGGCGAGGGCAATGCACCACCTCTTCTTTCTTCTTCAATAAAGTAAGGCTGTTCTCAGACTGCCACTTTGTTACCCCTTCAATAGCAAGTAGAGAGGGGCGAAGCCTCGGACGGATGGAAAGGTGCAGCCGTGGGGCCAAGGGGGAAAAAATCCTGTTAGGCCCTGACCTCGTTCCAGCCGCTCACACTCTGGAATGGAGTACGTCAGGAGGAGACCGATTCTGAAAGGCTCAGCGACAGCGCAGAACCCGAGCCACTCGGCAGCAGTGTCCAGGGCATGAGGTCTTGTGGGGAGTGGAGAGCCTAGGGTCCAGCCTCTTTCCTGCCCTCCGGCAGAAACAGCTGGAATGGGGCAGGGCGGGAGGGGGGAGCAGGCAAAGGGAGTGGGCACTTCCTTCCAAGCCTCTTCTCTGGGGGAAGGCCCATTTTCTGGCAGAGTCTGGGATAGGGCCCCTTCCAGGCACGGTGACATCACACATCGGTCATCTCGTCCCCTAGCTCTGCATCTTCTGCCTCTCCTTCTTCCTCCTCTTCATCCTCCTCCTCTGAGGTCACATTGGGTTCATCAGCTTCTGCCAGGCATTTGGGGCAGGAACAGACAAACAGATAGTTCTCCCTGCAGCAGATGGGGGTGGGGGGGAGGGTGAAAAGTCAGGCAGCCACTGGGATAGAGGCTGGGAGCCCAGCTGCCCACCACTTTCCCGGCAGGCACCTGAGGATCTTGTGGCGGCTGTGGCGACTGCGCTCCCGCTGGCAGCAGTCTAAGTAGCTGATACAGATTTCCTGCAACGCAGAGAAGTGGGGTCTGACAGTCTGTGCTATTAGGTGGGATTAAGGACTCCCCAATCACTACCCTATCCCCAACTTCTGCTCCATCCCCAAGGGCCCGAGCTGCCCTTCAGTGAAGGGGTGGGCTGCCCCGATCCATTCCTCTGGGTCCTCAGCAAGCAGGTCACTACGAGCCCTAACAATCTACATCTGAGGCGGAGAGGGGACAGCAGTTAGCCGCAGGCCAGGCTTAGCGGCATTAAGGCAAGATCAGTGGCTGGGTTTAGAGGTTATCTCGGTGAGATGCAACTTGTCCTGGAAGATTCAACCAGACTGCAGCACTGAAAACCAGGAGTAGCTCCCCACAGTCCAAGCCACAAAGAGCCATCTCCCGTTTTCTTAGAAGTTGGAGATTTTTCATCACGGGGTAGCTGGGGATAAGAACCTGGCACACAGCTGTTTCTCAAACACTGCTCTGAGGCTTTCTGGAGTTATTTTTTAAGGGGTGGGGTTAGAGAATATCTAGGAGCAGAATGACTCATGCCCTGTGGTGTGGGGGATTCAACTCAGCAGCCTGACTTTAGGCCCTAGCCACTGCCGCTCCCAATCTCCCGAGAGAACTCGCAAGGCCCACTGCCAGCCCCCACGCTCCCCACAGCCCCCAGCCCCCTCACCTCTCCTGGCTTAATGTCCTCCAGGGCGGTGACATGCAAGAGGAAGTTGTTTTCTGGGAAGGAAGTCTCTGCATTGGGGACACAGCTGTGGTTGCCTGGGTCACGAGAGGCAGGTAGTGAGGATTGCTGACTAATAAAAACAGCCTCAACTCTTAGAGCACTAGGCCCCTCCTTCCTTGTTTTCTGGAAGGATGGGATCTATCTAGGGCTGTGCAGATCCTGGAGCTCGTTTCCTGACTCCCTATCCAGTGCTCTTTCCTGAGACCACTGAGTCACAAGTGTATCCCACATCACTCTCTCTCCCACCGTCCACGTCTGCCCCTGCTTTCCTCCTCACTGGCCATCCCGACTCTCAGCTGTGTTCCCAGGGTCTCACAAAAGAGGGACAGGGCTTTGAAAGGGCTGTCTGTGCCAGACCACTAACTCCGTCCTGTCTGTTAATGGCTGTCTGGTAACAGGTGAGCCCGGCCCCCTGAGAGCCTAGTTTGGGAGGGTAGAGTGGCTCTGGAACCTGGGAAGAGGATTTGCAGAGAGGAAACCAGAGGGTGGGAGGCCGGGTGCTAGAACAGACAATAAATAGTCTGAGCGGACCACCCCTCCCCAGCAGGTGGGGACTGCCTGCTGGCCCGAGTTCCCTCCTCCCCGGATCCTGAGGGCTCCCAGGCTCTCCCCACACTTCCCTGCCAAACTTCGCAGGGCAGTGGAGGTGCACAGTTCATGCTTCTCTTAAGAAAATCAGAGCTCAGTGCCCTGCAGAACACAGGCCTGACCCACTGGAAGTTTTTATATATAAACATATACTAAGGCACCAGCAGTCCAATGAATGAACGAATGAAAAACTGATGGACCAAAAAGGACCAAAGGAATCTCCAAGGGCAGCTCAGATTTAACCCCACTCCCAGACTCAACCCCATCCGCCTAGAAGAAGCGAAACAAAAGAGATGAACTATAACTCTGAGGGCGCCGCTCCTCAGTGGCAGAACTCACAGCAGCTCTGAAGCACAAAGAGGCCTGATCCTTCACAGTTCAGGAACTCGCCAGTGGCTGTAAGAAGTAATAGGCAGGTGTTATTCTGCCCGTTTTATAGGGAAAAGGAAACTAGGCTTATAAGGTAAGGCACTGCCTCACTGTCCTGCCACCCTACCACACGAATGCAGCTGATCCTTACAGATGAACTTACATCTCTGAGGCATGAACCCTGCTTTTCTGTACGTGATAGCACTCTGTTTGTCCAGCACTCCCCACCCCCAGCATGGAGCCTTTGCACGGATCTCAGGCCCATTTCTCATCTGTGTGTCCCTCAGACAGATCGGAAGCTTCCCACAGGCACACAGGATGATGGCCCCCATCATTAACTCAGAGCTCCCTGGGGAAAACGGTCCAGATTTGACCGGGGGGTGGGGAGTGGGGTGGCGGTGTCTCCATTTCACCCACCTGCCTCGATGTCCTTGTACAGCTGGTCAATGAAGGCATCCAGCTTCTCGCGGTCCTGTGGCTTCAGCTCCAGAGCGTCACAGGCATGGACCCACTGGCTGAGGGAGCTGAGGGTCCCAGGCAGTGGCGGTTGGAGAGCAGGAGGCCCAGCGAACAGGGCTCTCCACCTCCAGGCAAGTTACACCCATTTCTTTCCCCAGAGACCAAGAATCCCAATGGGAGCAGACTCCACCAGCTGAGTCTTTCTGACCCCCATCAATATGGCAACTCTGACCACAGAGTTGCACCTGCCCCACCTAGCCTTAAAAGGAGGTGTGGATATCTTCCTTAGTTACTTTCCCACCCAAGCCCCGAGGGACAAGTCCAATATACTGGAACAGTGTCTCCTAACCTGGTCCCAATTCCTTGACCATTGGTCCCAACAAGCGCAAAGAGAGACCGGAACCCATCTGGAGTGAACCACTGTGGGGGAGAAAAGAGATGAGCACTCAGGGCCCAGCCACTTGCTTTTCTTCCTGATACAACTCTATGTTCAGGAAGTTTTCTGTGAGTCGGCCCCACCCCAACTCCCAAAGACCAAGTCAGCTCTCGCTCGGCGGCCCCGGGGGAGATGCTGACCCAGTTGCCCCTGGAGAGCCGGAGTGACTGGGGAAGACACTGGTCCCACCCTTCACTCACCTGGCTCAGCGCTTCCTCATAAAGGGCTTCTGTGAAGAGTCTCCGCACAAGTTCCAGCTGGCCCTGGTTTAGGAAAAACAGAGAGAGAGACTTGCATCCCTGAGGATTTCCCATCAGCACCCAGGCAGGGCCCCGACGACCTTGTGAGGGAAGGAAAAGGGCCGGCTCTGTAGACTGAGCTCTCCCTGGGGGCAGAGGAAGGCCACAGTCCTTATCTACAAAGAGCCTCGGCAGTCCACCGTCTACTTCAAATCAGAGTGGCAAACCCCAAATCCCTATTTTCCAGCCTCGTTGCCAGCAGGGCCAAGGAAGCCTGGCTTAGAACACCTGTTCTCACCACCAACCCTAGCCACCCCTAACTAGCCTCCAGACCAGCCTGACTCTCCCCTCCACCCTTTCCTCAGGACTCAATGCAGGAAGATCCATCCTAGATGCCTTTTCACACATCTGCCTCCACCTTCAGAGAGCTCCTGGGTGGAAATCCACTGTCCTCAGATTTTGTGATTCTTTTTTTTTTTTTTTTTTTAATATATTTTATTGATTTTTAACAGAGAGAAAGGGAGAGAGATAGAGAGCCAGAAACGTCAATGAGAGAGAAACATCGACCAGCTGCCTCCTGCACGTCCCCTACTGGGGATGTGCCCGCAACCAAGGTACATGCCCCTGACCGGAATCGAACCTGGGACCCTTCAGTCCGCAGACAGACGCTCCACCACTGAGCCAAACTGGCTTTGGCAGATTCTGTAATTCTTTGATTGGCAGTGGATACTTACTGCTCCCTGGCCCTGTGGGTCCCCAACCCTCCATTGTTCATTACACCTGACATACCCACTGCTGCCCCATCACGAGGTCTTTTCCACCCCTCCTTCCTCTGTCATTAGCCCACTTCCCCGTTCTGGGCCCGCATTAGGTCATGAAGTTAAATAACGGCAGGAATGTTAAGTCCTCTGAACAGATTTCTCACTGGGAAGGGACCAAATGTGGAGCTCCGCAGGAAGCCACAGAACATTCCAGGCTATTGGGGTGGAGGGGGCATGGGAAAAGACCAACCTTGAATTTGTCCCCCAAGAGTTTGTGGACGATTTCTTCCTCCTCGTTGGCCGTTTTATTACAGAACTGGGAGAAGAGCCTGATCCAACGATCCTTATCCTTGGCCTGCAGTGAACAAATGTTTCAGGTCACATTCACACGTGCCTGTGCATGCATGTGCACACACGGACTCACAGACACCACGTCCTGACTGCCACTGTCGCCCCTGCATCACACCTGAGCTTCTAGGCAGACCCTCCCTTGACCTGGGACTTCCTTCCAGCCTGCGTATCCCCAGCTATCTCCCCAACTGGGGCCAATCTAGCCAATCCAACACCTGAGCAAAAACAGAAATAGGAGGGGTTAGCACGGCTTCTCTCACTTTATGTAAGAGACACGATCCTGAAAGAGTGGTGCTTACAAACCGAATGCATGAATTCCTCCTGCACAAGAATGTCCTCTCCGAGGTCAAAGCCTACAGACAAGACGAGTGCCCACTCCCTGCCAGATTTATGGTTATCAGCTCCTAGGGTTTCTGCAGGAAGCAGCTGTCCTTTAGAAGGCCCGGGAGGAACTCTGCATCCAAGCAGGAGGCTGAGGCCGAGGGTGGAATGAAGCCGGAGGGGTCAGAAGGGGGCTCACCTGCTTCACCGTGGCCACCATCCGGGCCATCAGCATGATGCTGGCCGTCTCAGGGGGGTAGTGAACACTCCTGGGGAGAAAGAAAAAGGTTTGGCCTAGGAATTCCCTCCAAGTAGCTGTTTTCAAGGAAGTCCAGTCTGACTGCTACAGACTGGAGAGAGAAAGTCATGGGCAAAGGCTTGGACAGGACTTTACATTCTTATAGGCTTAGGGGAAGGTGTAAAATGTTGAGGATGGTGGGATTGGCAGCTCAAACAAAAGGCAGGGGGGCTCTGTTTAACCGTAAGAATGGGGGTGGGGGAATTCTGGGAGATGGTAACTTAAGAAAAATGGCTGCATCAGTTGAATGCAGGCAGGGGAGGGAGGAATCAAGGAAAGAAGAGATGAAATGCCACCTACCTCCATGCCTCCTGCAGCTTATTGAGAGGATGCAGGGGGTCGTCCTGGGAGGGGCCTGGGCACAGGACCCGGTGGTACTGCTCAGCGGCTGCCAGCCGACATTCTGCACTGCAGTACATCACCTGTTGGAGGGGGCGGAGGTCCCACGTGGCACTCACCTCCTCTACTGTATTCCTTCCACAAACAGCCCCTGAAGGAGCCCAGGCTGCTGTGACATGGGGAAGCACACAGTGCTCTGGGGGCACCTACAACCCCAGGCTTGTAAAACTATGGGAAAGAAAGAGAGCTTAGCAGGTCAAGGGGAGAGCCCCCACCAGGATCTTAGAAAGGGGACAAGCTCGCATCCAGCCTACTTTGTAGACAAAGGGACTGGAACAAGGGGGTGAAACTGCACAGCAGCTGAGCCTTTTCAATGTCCTGTCCTACACTGTGGTTCTCAGGGGCCGGGACCCGGTCCGTCTCCGCTGCTGATTCCCCAAAGGGGACTTCAGCTAAGGTCTCTTCCATCAGTCCCTTCCCGGCACACTCCCCAAGGACACTCACCTGGCAGTGGGGACAGCTCTGGTGGAGGTCCTTGCGCACAGGGCACAGCTCAGGGTGAGGCAGCACCTGGCCGGGCTTCCCAGTCAGCCTCTGGGCATTCTCCTCCGCTTTCTCCAGTGCCCGCAGGCAGTGGTCACAGGCTGAGGGAGAGAGCCAGACAGGACAGTCTGTCTCGAGAGCAGGGTCCACATGTGACATTTCACAGCAGTATCCCAGGGCTAGAATAGTGCTGGGCACATAGCGGGTGTTCCCAATGTTTAGAAAGTGAGTAAATGAATACGTTAAAGAATGCACCCGGCTTCTCAGTGGGACTTAGTCTGTGGGGCTCCCATCCCTTCCCCAAGACTGGACTTTCCCAACGTTTTGGAAAAAAAGGGACCCTCCTCCCAGTTTATCTCTGGCCTAAGAAAAGAGAAGGGGGAAGCATGTGGCTGGTTTCTGACCCTCAATGCAGCCTTTCCTCAGCAAGGGGCCTGTGGCCTCGGGTAGAAGGCTCCACTTTGGCACAGGGCCCGCAGCACCAGGCATGGCGTCCAGTCCCTTCTATTATCAGGGTGGACTGAGTTCCACCCGAGTGACAGCCCTCCCCGGGGACATTCCCTACAGGCTCACAGCCCCAAACAGCCTGAGATCAGACAGTGGTTCTCAGGGGCAGTTCCCCAAGGAAGACAGCCTTTCCTCCTCACATCCCGAGACACCCACCAGCGGGGGGCGTGCAGCTCTCTGTGCAGAGGCGGCTGGGCCCAGCAGCACCAGGCATGGCGTGTGCTCACCTCGGTAGCGATAGAGTGCATTCCAGAGAAACTGTGCGGCCACCAGGGGCCGTTCTACAAAGATGGTCTCCCCCTTCCGGATCAGCTGCGTGGCAAAAAGCCCCTTTCCCTGAGGGCAGAGAAGGAGCAGGATGGCCATTAGAAGAAGCAGAGCACAGTTCCAAGGCTCCTGGAGGGCCACCCGCCTCACCCCATGCTACCTCTTAGCAGAGGCAGAGGGTTCGCGGAGCGCGGCCAGCGCCCCATAGCGGCCACCTCTGAAAATGCAGCTCTGTTTATAGAGAAGAGGACCTGGGATGTCAGCCATCCCAGAACACCCTAAGGAGAATTTTTAGAATGGCCAAGGAGGGCCACAGCTCAGAGCAGGCTGGGGCCCCCTGTACCAGGAGCTAGTAACAGCAGGGCAGCCTTCTCGGAGTCACCCCCCATGCCCCTCCAGGATCCGGCAGTGATGCTGCCATTAATGGTTGCACAGAAATCCTACACCATGGGAGAGGGAGGCCTAGCTTGGGGAAGAATACACCCTATTTCCCTGGTTGGGCAGATACTCACAGCACCTGGCATAGTACCTGGCACCCAACAACTTCACAGGAGTTACTCTGAAAAGAATGACTAATCGTAGCACTGATCCTAATGCTTACTTGCTTGAACTTTTTTTTTTTTTAAATATATTTTATTGATTTTGTACAGAGAGGAAGGGAGAGAGATAGAGAGTTAGAAACATTGATGAGAGAGAGTCATCAATCAGCTGCCTCTTGCACACCCCCTACTGGGGATATGCCCGCAACCAAGGTACATGCCCCTGACTGGAATCGAACCCGGGACCTTTCAGTCCCCAAGCAGACGCTCTATCCATTGAGCCAAACCGGTTTCGGCCTTGCTTGAACTTTTAAGCTAATTGCTTCACTTCTTTGTATCTGATTCCCACAGGAAAAATGAGTATTTAATATTAGCAAACAGGTATTTCCCAGGATACAGCACAGGTCATGCACCCCATAAGCTCTACCTCCTTACTACTCAAAGTGAGGGGATGGACTGGCAGCCTGGGCATCAGCTAGGAGGCTATTGGAAATGCAGAGTCTCAGGCCCCACCCCAGACCTGCTGAATCAGAATATGACTTTCACAAGATGCCCAGGTGCTTCATAGGCATGTCAAAGTTTGAGAACTAGAAGTCTAAAGCACCATCCACATCGGGGAAAAGTCAAAGGACGAGAAAATTATCGCTGAATTGCATCTCTGAGTGCAAAGGGATTCCGGAGACAGCTTTAGAACCCAGGGAAGTTACTGGCCCCACCAGGCATTTACTTCCACCGTTCACTCCAAGAAGTGCCTTGCAAACACTGAATTGTCACAAAAGGGAGAGAGAGAAGTGGTCAGCACAGCAGTTAAATGTCTTTGTCATGTGGCCTCATGCGTAGCGCCTTGTCTTCTAGCAATGGAGCTCTGGCCAGACAGGGCCACCTCCCAAAGTCAAAGCAGCAGGAAGCGCAGACCTGAACAGGCCACAAAGCTCAACCCTCTGAACAGCTCTCCCAGCAGAGTGGGAGTTGGAACAAAACCATTGGGCAAAGCCATGGATGCACTCCCGCTGTCTTCCCGAAAACCCCGCCCATACCTTGTGGCCCCTGGGGCCCAATCTCACAAAATGAAATGTGGCCTTCTGCTACGGGACATAAAGATATAAATATTATCTCTGACAACCTCAAATCTCAGTATTAGATAAATATTGCTCTCCTTCTTGAGGACCAAAATGCAGTAATGTTAAGTAATCAAAGTGGGAAGCAGAACTGTTCCTCTATAAAACCACACATCCCCAAAACATGAAAGTGTTTCAAGAAAACAGCTCTAATTCATATTTCCAAGAAGCTTGGAGAGAACTGAACCTGAATGGAAAGGGCACAAAGTATGCAAATATATTCCCAATTTGGCAAGTAAATAAAAAATATTGTACAAAACTCTAAGGCTGCACTAAATTTTAAAAATCTTTATTCAATGGATGATTTTATTAAAAAAATATAAATTGCCAAAACTTAATTCAAAAGTAAGAAAGCCTCGCCCTAGCTGGTTTGGCTCAGTGGATAGAGAGTCAGCCTGTGGACTGAAGGGTCCTGGGTTTGATTTCAGTCAAGGGCACATGCCCGGGTAGCATGCTCAATCCCCAGTAGGGGGTATGCAGGAGGCAGCCGGTCAATGATTCTGTCTTATCATTGATGTTTCTATCTCTCTCTCTCTCTCTCTCTCTCTGAAATCAATAAAAACATATTTTTTAAAAAGTAAGAAAACCTAGACAGACTAAAAAGCAGTGTTGTTTTCTGGTTGATGTGTCCCAGCATGGCGTTCTGGTTGACATCACTGCATTTGATCAGGTTTCTGTTGTGATTAATCACATCCCTGGCATAATAGTTGGTAAATTCTTAAGAAAGCATTGTGGCCAATATCCATAGAAGCAATAAAGTGATCAAAGCTATCCCACGGGAGGCTCCTAATCTATATAGTTTTATGAGCCAGCTCAGTCAGACCAGTATAAAGCTTCTCCATTTTATTCAAAAACAAAACATAACTAATGTGATAACTGGGGAAATTACACAAAATAAAATTATAAACCAATCTCATCTGATGAAAACAGATGCAAAGAGCCTACTCTCTTGCCACTAAGTCTGGGTAGGTGTATGCTTTTCTCCAGCAGCAGATCAGGTGTCATCATGGGGAGGGCCATTCTCCCAGAGCTGGGGTTTTAATAGAAGGCTGAGCCAGGACAATTAGGCAAGCAGAGTGGTAATGAAGTGAGGGAAGAAGTGAAGAAATAAGGAAAGGGGGGTGTGGGGGGGGCACTAAGTGATGGTAAAGGTAAAAGTTTCTGCATGCCAGGAGTGATGGAATGAGACACCATCTAAGTGTAAGCCAATCGATACTACAGGCCCACAGAGTGGAGACCGCGGTGTGAGCAGCTGAGGAAGCCAAGGATGTTGGAGAGTGGACCGCCATGCAAGGAGAGGCATGCTCCAGGTCCCCTGTGCAAAAAAGGGCAATGGAAATTGGGTTGGGCTTCTGGACCGGCATGAAGGCTGACATGTTGGATAAGGCTTAAGGGTACACACGGGATAAATTATTCACCCTCTTAGTAAACAAAGACATGTAAATGAGAACAAAGCAATGCCATTTTGCACATATCAATGGCAACCATAATAACTAGGAGAGGAAATAGTGCTGGAGAGAACAAAGGGATGTGTGCTACCAGATCTTCGACCTCAGGGAAAAATCAGTTATATCATAAGGGCTTGTAAATAAGTATCTGGTAGAGGAAACTGCTGCCCTCCCATGAAATAAACGAAAACTATTATTTAGCGTTTAAAAAGGAATACACAGAAATAGGGTTAGTGAAACTGGGCGATGTACTGGTACTGCTGCATCAAAAAGCAGTTTCTAAAAAATGGGACCTTATACATATATTGCACAAGGATAGGATGGCAGGTGATTTCATTTTTTACCTTCTTTCTTTATATGCGTTTTCAATTTTTTTTTAATAACGAACTTTTAAAAAAGCAACAATAAAAAGGGACAAACACCACCTCACTCTCCTGCTCAGCCCTTCCAAATGCTCCCACGGGCCGCAGGTTCCGTCCCAAATTCTTGAGCACTGCCAGGCCCTTCCTCACCCAAATCTGCCCCAGAAAGTTCCCCTCGGTCCCCTCGGCTCTCCCCTCCCGCCCACCGCGCCTGGGGGCCGGGAGCCCGGATCCGCATCCTGGGTCGGGAGCTCCGGGGTCCCCCCTCCCAGCCCCGCCTGCCGTAGCCGGAGGAGGGCTGCCTACGGGCCGGGCCGGGGCCGCCGAGGGGGCGCTCGGAGCCCGGAGGCCCCGGCACACCGCGTGACCGCCCGGAGCCTGTGCGCGGGGACCCCCCGGGAGCCCCCCTCCCCCAGCTGCAAGCTGGTACGGGGTCCCCCGGGGCTGCTCCCAAGGCCGGACGGGGTGGGGGGGTCTCCTCCGGCCTCACCTTGGAGCTGCTCACGAAGCGAACTTCCACGGAGACCCGGGCCCGGCCCGCCACGCCCATGCAGAAGGAGAACACGTCGCACATGGAGGCCGCCATCTTGGGCGCGCCTCCTCCTCCTCCTGACCCTTGACCCGGGAGGCCCCGCCCCTATTGGCCCCGCCCCCCGGCTTGGCCGCTCGGAAATCCGAATTTGGGTCCGTTTGGTCTTTGTTTAGATCCGATGGTGTGTGGACTAGGTGGAGCTGGGCCTGCCTTTGTGCTTTTTTTTTAAAATAAATCTTTATTGTTCATATTATTACAAATGTTCCTCATTTTTTTCCCCTCCATTGCTTCCCTCCACCAGGTTCCCACCCCACCCTCTGCCCTTTCCCAACCCCTCATTGTCTTCATCCACAGGTGCACAGTTTATGTTCAGTCTCTTCCCACACCCCCCCCACTCCGCTTTTCCCTGAGAATCGTCAGTTCACTCCCCTTCCATACCTCTGATTCTATTATATTCACCAGTTAATATTGTCCATCAGATTTTTAAAAAATTCCCTTGATTTTTAGATTCACTTGTTGATAATTACATATTTGTTTAACTTTTTCACATATTTTATAACTTTTTAAAATATATATTTTTATTGATTTCAAAGAGGCAAGGAGAGGAAAAGAGAGAGAGAGAGAGAGACATCCATGATGAGAATCATTGATGGGCTGCCTCCTGAACACCCCACATGGGGGATGGAGCCTGCAACCCCCGCCTGTGCCCTGTCCAGGAATCGAACTGTGAGCTCCTGCTTCGTAGGAAGATGCCCAACCGCTGAGCTATGCCAGCTGGGTCTGCCTTTGTGCTTTTACGTTTGTGCAGTTTTGCACCTGTCTCTGTCTTTGTGGCCAGCGTGGGCCTGTATCAGAGCTGCTGTGCTGTATAGTTTTGATGTGTGTGCATCTGTGTCTGAGTTCATGTTTGTGTGTCTGTCATCTTTGTCCATTCACTGGTGTGTCTTGACCAAAGCAGTCTGTGGATCCTCTCCTCTCCTCTCTAAGCCTCAACCTGAAGGGAAATACTAGCTTACTCCACAAAGTCTGGCAGAGTATTTCCCTTCTCCGTGGGTCCTCTGGCAGCGGGGCAGACTGTCCTACCAATGATCAAGTTGGACTTATTTTTATCTCAGACTCTTCAGCAGCTTAGGGACTTTGCAGCCGGGGCAAGAGGTGGGGTGGAGTAGGACCCATAGTGGACGTCACGTCTGAGATCCCCTAAAATTATATAAAAGTGAGTGAGTGTACATGTGCACATTGTCCTGACCACAAAAGAGGGGCCGTTTTCTATTCAGGATCCCAGAAAGCTGCAACCACTGATCTATAAATCATGTGTCCCCTCAGCCAGGCCTGACCACCATGCCTTGTTTCCTTGTCCTTCCTTGAAAAGGGATCTGTGTCTGCTTCTGCTGTGGTCTCAGGGTGACATTTGGGGATTGAGTAGAACCCAGTAACTGCTGAAAAGGTAACTGTTGATAGAAGAAGGAGAAGGAGAAGGAGAAGGAGAAGGAGAAGGAGAAGGAGAAGGAGAAGGAGAAGGAGAAGGAGAAGGAGAAGGAGAAGGAGAAGGAGAAGGAGAAGGAGGAGGAGGCGGAGGAGGAGGAGGAGGAGAAGAAGGAGAAGGAGAAGGAGAAGGAGAAGGAGAAGGAGAAGGAGAAGGAGAAGGAGAAGGAGAAGAAGAAGAATCAGAAGAAGAAGAAGAAGAAGAAGAAGAAGAAGAAGAAGAAGAAGAAGAAGAAGAAGAAGAAGAAGAAGAAGAAGAAGAAGAAGAAGAAGAAGAAGAAGAAGAAGAAGAAGAAGAAGTAGTAATAGTAGTAGTTGTTCCTGGAAGAGGCAGAAAATATTCAGCTGGGTTCTTTGATTTATTAATAGAGTTGCCTTTGGGTCCAGCATTATGGAGGATTTCCCTGAAGATAGGTACAGGGAAGGGTTCTTGGAGCTGGACCCTGGCCTCCCTCACGCCTACAGCCTGGTGTCCAGGAGAAGATGGTCCACTGCTTTGGGAATCAGGTGGTTTTCCAAGACTGCCTGTTTTTCCTCTCTCAAAAAACAGAGCAGCAGGGACCGTGCCCTCTTTCACCACCAGGTGGCAGGGCAGGCCTCCTCCCACCAGCTCACCTCCACAGCCCACCACCCAGGAATGTGGAGCCTTAGAGAAATCAATCCTGAAAATGCTTGTGACTATCTTTACTGAGGTAGGCTGTCAGGCTTCTTGGAGACAAACCAAACAGATGCCCGGGAAAGGGAACTATGAGTCCGGGTAGTGAAGAGGGGTAAATAATAACTGTTTTATGAAAAAAAAAAAAAAAACCAGCAGAGTCTATGGTAAAATGCCAGCCTTGGCAGAGGCAGAGTCAAATTGCTCTATATAAATATGGGGAGGGAGGTGTCAAGGTGGGAAGCCAGAGAGAAAGATGGTGGTCAGGGTAGCATGTCTGCTTCAAGGAGGCACCTGGGCCTGAGCTCCTTCTAAGAGTTATAACAGTTCAGGCAAAACAAGAAAACTTTGGGGAACCTTGGGAGGGGAAGTGGACTAAATAGCCTACCTTTCCCTCTCTCTCCTTTTTTTTTTTTTTTTTTGCTGTCAACTCTACCAGTTTTGTCAGGGAAGAGTCTTCTATGCCCAGACATTGATTAAAGGAGGCCCTCTCTGCTCCACAACCAGGCCAGGAGGAGATTAATCCCTAGGAAATCCTGGGCTGGTTTAGGCACCATTCTCCCAGGGTGAAGGGGGTCCATAAGCCTTAGCAGTGGCCACACCCTTAGCACCGGGCCTGGCACACTGTAAGTGCTTTACGGACATCATCTTAGCCTTGAGAGCTCTAACTTATCAACACACCCAGGATACAGGTGAAGAGAAAAGGCTCAGAAGTTCATTAATGTGGCCAAAGTCATAGCTGAAGGTCCAAGTCTGTGCTCCTGACCATTGCATTATTGCAACTCCCAGGAGTCAATATCAAAAAGTTCTCAACAGTTCAGATTTCTCTGGTGCCTGTTGACCCCGATGAGACTCTTTGTTAATATGTAGAGCGAGCAGGTAGGTCCAGTGTCCCCAGGAAGAGCTAGCCCAGACAGCCTGGGTTGAGCCTTCATCCCGATCCTCAGCTGTCCCCTCCTGATTCCGTGTCTTCTCTCTGGATGACGGCGTCAGAGCTGCTGGAGGGCTCGTCTGGGGAGGCCACCATGGCAGACACGGCTGGCGGTTTCAGCCTTTGCTGCTTCTGATACTTGACCCTGCGGTTCTGGAACCAGACCCTCACCTGTAATGGGAGGCAAAGATCAGAATGTGACTAGCAATTCCCATCGCTTCTCCTGTTCCCACAGCACCCACTCCACTCAAAATCTGCCCTTCCATTTAAAGGAAGAATTGCCCCCAACACATCCTTTCCTTAATTCTAGTTGCCATTCATTCATCCATTCATCCAACAAGCATTTTTTTTAACACTTTATTTTTTACATCACAGGGGATTTATTGATTGATTATGGTATCACATAATTGTCCTCATCCCCCCATTTCCATCCCAAACCCTTTCCCACATATGCCTCCACCCCCCTGTTGTCCATGGCCACTGGTTAGGCTTATATGCATGCACACAAATCCTTTGGTTGACATCTCCCTTTTACCCCCACCCTCCCCTACCTTCCCTCTGAGGTTTGAGAGTCTGATCGCTGCTTCTTCCTCTGGGTCTGTTTTTGATCATCAGTTTATATTGTTCATTATTTCCTCTGGATGTGTGAGATCATGTAATCCAGGAAATACCCTTGTAAGAACCGAAACTGAGACAAGCCTGAGCTCCTATGACCTACTAGGCACTGCTCTCGGTGATGGTGATACCATGGTGAGCAACAGAGGCATGGTCCCTGCCCTCATGAAACCCACAGTCTAGTAGAGAGAGACTTCACAAGCATGGGAACAAACACACCGATAAATGCACATGGTTTGGTAAAAACAGGGGTTTGAGTCTCCCTGAGAAACCAGCGTGGAAGTACGTCAAGGCTCCGCGGGTAAGAGGCCAGCCTGGTGGGGACCGAGGAAAGCAGGCCAAGGCAGGGTATGAGCTGCAGGAAGGCTTTGAGGCAGAACCAAGCTTGGAATATTTGAGGACCAGGAAGGAGAAGAGCGTTCCTGGCACAACCAAAAGTGAGAAGAGAAAGTAAAGGAAGAGGAAATGGAAGAGGCCAATGAGGGCCAGGTTACCCGGGACTGTGAAGGTCAGGGGCAAGGAGGCTTTTAAGTGGAATGTGACATGAGTCCTATTTACTTGTGGAGTCTTATTTACATGGCACATCTGGCTGCTGTGTGAAGAATGGATGAAAGGAGATGCAGGGAGAGAGCAGGGAGTTCTTGCAGTGATCCTGCAAGAGCTGGGGCTGATATGGACCCGGGCAACAGAGAGAGAGGAAGCGATTCCAGCTGTATTTTGGAGTAGAGGTGACAAGGCTTGCTGACGGGGTGGTAGTGGGAGAGAAGGGAAAATCTAGGATGACTAGGTATTGTGAGCAGCTGGAGGGATGGTGGGGTCACATGTGGGGAGAGGGACGGATTTGGGGAGGGGAAAAACATCACGTATGGAGGTTTTGACGTGTTAAATTTGAAATGCCTATCCATCAGGCATCCAAGTGGAGACTCAAGAAGGGAGTTAGATGTACAAGTAAGAAAAGGTGGGTGGGTGAAGGGGGGTTAAGATACAAATGTAAGAGTCATTGGCTTATAGATGGTATTTCAAACCATGAGAATAAATGAGATCAGCTGGGGAGAAGAATTTGAAGTCACAAACAGAAGAATAGCCTACAAAAGCGACAGAGAAGTGGGCAGAGAGCTAAGGGGAAAACCAAGAGTGTGTTTCAGTGAGAAAAGGAGCCGTCAGCTGTTCTGAACGGTGGAACAAGAAAAGAAAGGAGCCCTGACCGGTTTGGCTCAGTGGTAGAGTGTCGGTCTGAGGTTTGCGGACTGAGGGGTCCCAGGTTCGATTCCGGTCAGGGGCATGTACATTGGTTGCGGGCACATCCCCGGTGGGGGGTGGGCAGGAGGCAACTGGTTGATGTTTCTCTCTCATCGACGTTTCTAGCTCTCTGTCTCTCTCCCTCTCTGTAAAAAAATCAATAAAATATATTTTTTAAAAAAGAAAAAGAAAGAAAGAAAGAAGGAAAGAAAAAAGAAAATAAAGGAGCCCTGAATAGTTTGGCTCAGTGGATAGAGCATCAGCCTGCAGACTCAAGGGTCCCAAGTTCGATTCCGGGCAAGGGTATGTACCTTGGTTGTGGTCATTTCCCCAGTAGGGGGTATGCAGGAGGCAGCTGGTTGATGTTTCTATCTCATTGATGTTTCTAACTCTCTATCCCTCTCCGTCTCTCTCTGTAAAAATCAAAATATATTTTTAAAAATCAATAAAAATATATTTTAAGAAAAAAAGAAAAGAAAGGAAAGCATCTCTTGACTTTGGCAACACAGAGGTCATTAGGGACCCTGATGAGAAGTTTCAAAGGTATGAAGGGGAAAGAATTCACATTGGCATGAGTTAAGGAGTAGATGGGAAGTGAGGACCTGGGGACAGGGAACATAGCCCGTTCTTGAGAAGTTTGTGAAAAGAGCAGAAAAATGGTGCAGCAGCTGGAAGGGAGGATGGGGGGTGTCAAGGGAATATTTATTATTATTTTTAATATTCAGTTATTTGAACACCTACTTGACTTCACTGCCAGCTCCTTATTTAGCATGAAAATGTAACCTTAATTCTAGGTTAATATCTACAAATATGATGTGATGTTTCCATAATGTAATTTCACATGGAACTATTTTTTCTCACTCATGCAGAGAGGACGCCAACCATTAGGCCTGGCACAGGAGAAGAAAGCCCATTTCTCCCTCCTGAGGACCAGGGCCTTCCAGAGAGGGGTGTCTGTCCCCAGGTGCAGCCTGGGCTCCACGGGAGTCTCTGTTCCTACCTGGTTCTCTGTGAGGTGGAGCCGGGCGGCCAGCTGGGCTCTGCTCTTTCCTACCAGATTGTGCTGTTTTGCAAACACTTTCTCCAACTCCTCCAGCTGCTCCAGGGTAAACATAGTCCGGACCCTCTTTTGGGGTCTCTCCGTGTCCTGAAGGTCCTCCCTTGGGGCCCCGTCTGGGGAACTCCAGAGGCCTGGGCAGTAAGTCAGCTCCAAACCTAAAGAGGAGGAGGGGCGGTTAGCCAGCACCCACCCACCCACCCCAGTTGGAGGGAAGAGAACAAGCTCACAGCTCCACTGCCCTGCCTGGCCTTTGGCTGGCTAATATAGCAAGAGGCAGAGTGGGAAGAGACTGCACAGAAATGACCAAACAAGTGAGAGAGAAAGGACAATGTTGTGAGACTCCTTCTGCCTCCACGATTCTCCCGCTGAGGGGCTGAACCTCTGACCCTAAGAGAAGTTGCCGAACCTCCATCTCTCCTTGTCCTCCACCCCTTTCCGTGGCTCCCTCAGGACCCCCCATAGGATGGGCAGAGAATGGGGCCCTTCATCAAACAAATGCTTTTTGAATGTCTATGGGTCAGGCATGGTTCCAGGACAAATCAGAAAAATCTCTGTGTAGCAAGAGAAAAGGTAAAGAAAATATTGAGCATGTCAGACAGTGCTTAGTGCTAGTGAGGAGACTATAGCCGGGAAGGACAGAGTGTGTGTGTGTGTGTGTGTGTGTGTGTGTGTGTGTGTGTGTGTGTGTTGAGGAGAGAATAATTTGTATTCTTAGAAAGGGAAGCCACCTCACAGGGGTGATATTTGAATAGGGCCACTGGATGCAGTTTGTGCCCTGCACGTGGGTACCCAGCGGAGAGGGTACACGGAGTCTGAAATTCTGCCCGCTCTCCACAGGCGGATAATTGCCCCCTGAAAAGGTGCTGTGTCTGCCTGAGGGAAGGGGCGACTTTTCCCAATGCACACACAGGTGCTATTCAGCTCACGGAGATGAAGACAACGGAGATGAAGATTGGTCCACCAAGGGACGGACCCGAATTATAACTCGAAAGGAATGAGAATGGGACCATTTGGCTGTCTGGGAGGGGAGTGTTCCAGGCAGAGGAACGGAACTGCAGCCCTAAGACCCCCTCAGCCTCCATTAACTTTGGGGAGGCGTTCAGGGCTGTACCCTGCTCCACTGAAGGGAGTGAGGTCAGGACCCTGGCCGCCCAGCACACCAACCACTGGGCAAACCAGACTTTCCATAAGTGCAAGCAAAATAGCAAGAGACATTAATAGCGAGAAGCATTAATAGGGTCTGATTAAATAAAGAATCCTTACAATGGACCCCTCTGAGGTGTAAAGAAGCTCTGTGTGGATTGGTATGGAAAAACCTCCAAGCTGAATGGTCAGGTGAAAGAAGTAAGGTACAGAGCAGTGTGTCTAGTATGGGGGGAAACGTGTGTGTGTGTGTGTGTGTGTGTGTGTGTGTGTGTGTTCATAAAATATGCATAAAATAGGTCTGAACGAATCAAGAAACTGGCGTCATTGATTGCTTGTGGGATGGGGTCAGCCACCTAATGGCAGAGGAAATTTCTCCACCTATCTTAGTAAACTTTTCTTCTTCCCCGAAATCAGTTATTAGTAAACATTTTGCCATTTGAACTGTGTGAATGTAATAGCTATGCAAAAATGAACTTGAGAATGTGACCACTTCAATAGAAAGCAGTTAAGGGCAATCCAGACCTCGGGTGTGTGAGGAGGTTAGAAACCACGGTGTGGTGTGATGGGTCTGGCGCCCAGCCGCAGGGGCGTGGATTTGGATGGGGTTGGGAACCCAGGGTTTCTCTCCAACGTGGGTGGGAGGCGCACCCCTCCAGAGCCCCGACAGCACGCTAGGAAAGCAGGTTCCGAGAGGTCAGTGTGCAGGGAGCTCACAGAGCCCTGAGCCGCGGAGGCGGCATTGGGGTGGCCGGCTCCCAGCAGCTCCCGCTGCACTGCACCGCCTGGGGCATCTGCTTCCCCCGCCAAGGCGGGGCCCTGGAGTCACTGCCAGAGCTGCTTTGGGGAACTGTCTGCGCCACCAAGCGTTCTCCAGGGGTGGGGTGGGGGTGGGGGGGGTGGGAGGCAGCAAATCCCTCTCGGAGGACGCAGAGCCCAGGAGCAGGATCGAGTCGTGGTAGCCTTCCGAGCCCGCTTCGGTCCACTGGCACATCTTGCTCTGCACTCAGCTCTGCCCCCACACTCAGCTTCACCCACCTCAGCAGCCTGCAGGGGCACCCCGGCGTCAGGGGCCGTTCTCAGCCACACTCCCGGGCTTCAGTTCAAGGGTCATAGGGCCCTCTCCACTCCAATCTTTTTTTTTTTTTTTTTTTTTTTTTTTAATATATTTTATTGATTTTTTACAGAGAGGAAGGGAGAGGGATAGAAAGTCAGAAACATTGATGAGAGAGAAACATCGATCAGCCCCCTCTTGCACGCCCCCTCCCCCTCCACTGGGGATGTGCCCCCAACCAAGGTACGTGCCCTTGACCGGAATCGAACCCGGGTCCCTTGAGTCGAAAGGCCAACGCTTTATCCACTGAGTAGCCCCGGTTTCGGCTCTACTCCAATCGTGTATGGTCCCCAACCTCAAACTTCTCCCCTAACCTGCGCCCACGGCCGTGGCCTCCCTCTCCCCCTCCCGCCTGCCTCCCGGGCACCTCCTACCTGTGACGCCGAGGCCCTGGAGGCCGCAGAGAGGGGCCAGGCGCAGCCCCAGCGCCGGGGGCCGAGGGCGCGGCTGGCAGAGCCCCGCGCTCAGGCCGGCGGGCAGCCAGGGAGCTGGGCGCGCCCAGGGCAGACCCTCCCAGGTGCCCGCGGAGGCGGGGGCGCAGGCGGGCGCGCGGGGCGCCGGCCTCGCCAGGATGGCCTCGACGGAGAAGGAGGACTCGAGGGGTCGGGGAGCGCGGGACCTGCCGGGGTCGGCGTGGGGCCCGGGGGCGGGAGAGCAGCCTGAGCGCGGGCACCGGGCCTGGTCCCTCCCCGGGCTGGGCATGGCGCCAGGGGGCAGCGCGAGAGGAGGGAGAGCACCCTGCAAAAGGAGGGGAGGCTCCTGGCTTGGAAGCGCCGCCTGGGGCGAGGGCTCTTACATAGGACGGGGTGGGGAGGGGCCGGGCGGGGCGGGGCGGATGGCCTTTTCCCTGGCCCATGCGGGGCCTCCCTGGGGGCTGCAGAGCCCGGACTCTGCCCCGTTAGACGCTTAGGACGCGCCAAGGACCATGCTCCCTCGGTTCTTACGCATTTAAAAATGCCCACTCTGCCCCTAACCGGTTTGGCTCAGTGGATAGAGAGTTGGCCTTCGGACTGAAAGGTCCCAGGTTCCATTCCGGTCAAGGGCATGTACCTTGGTTGCGGGCACATCCCCAGTGGGGAGTGTGCAAGAGGCAGCTGATCGATATTTCTCTCTCATTGATATTTCTAACTCTCTATCCCTCTCCCTTTCTTTCTGTTAAAAAAAAAAAATCAATTAAAAATATGTAAAATGCCACCCTGCGGAGGAGCCCAGTCGCCCGCTCCCTTGGGATCCTGGGCGCCCTCAGGCCTCTGCTTATCTCAGAAGCAGAAGCTCCAGCCAGATTCACTTGATATTGTGCAGCCCTTTCATTGTTAAGCAATTAAATGTACATATCTTACTTATAAGCACAGTGAAAAGTACATTTTCCACTCTGTCCCACCAGCCACTTACTTCCTATCTGCCAACACCGTTGTTTACCAATTTTCCCAGGAACTTTCTGTACCCATGTGACCAGGCTCCACTGGAGAAGTGGTCCTGTATCCAGAAACGGGGAGGGGAGAACTGTGACGGTTCCCAGATTTAAAAATACGAACTCATTGTCCATGCATGGCAGTGGACAGGCTACAGAACTGCTGTGTTATGTAGGTGATGGGCAGGCATTCTATCCCTGTTTTCCTGATGGATGACCAGTACTTGCCAGCTGCTGTTCTTGGTTAAGTTACAAGTTACTGGTTGTCTTTCCTCACCTGTAAAACGGTGATAGTAGTAGCTACTTCATGGGGTTGCTATGCAGATAACATAAGTAATGCAGGGAAAGCATTCACAATTAGCCCGTGCATGGGGAGCACTCTGCTGTGATTGTGGGGCTCGGAGGGATTCCCGACTGCCAGGCTAAGGATGGCATTCTGCTCCCCCGAACCAATTCCTACTCTGTCAGGTGCAGGGCACTTCCCTGCCATTGTCATCCGGGACACAAACATTCCTATTCTGCTCTGACAAGCAGGGGCCAGAGGCACCTTGCTGGGTGGGCAGCTGCCTGCTCCACCCCCTTCAGGCTTCAACAAATACTGGCTCTGCCTTCTGAGGACGCCTTCCCCCTCCCGCTTCCCCAGTAGGCAGCCTGGAACCTGAGGGTGATGCTCAAACAAGAAGCGACAGTAACCATGTTTGGCACTACAACAAAGATGGCTTTCCCGTTGTTAGAATAGCCTACACTCACGAAATGCTTACTTACTCTCTGCCAGGAACTTTCCAAGTGCTTTGTGTCTTAACTCATTGCAGCCTCAAAACAACCCTGAGCCCATCTCATTCTTTCTCTTTCACCTTCCCAAGGACAGGTTTGTTTTCACCCAGACAAAACCGGGGAATGTGCAGGTTTCGGGAGCTGAGATGGAGGGCCCACACACAGGCCTCAAGGGAAGCCCAACCTGCAGTGTAAGAGGGCCCTGGGTGCCCGTGAGGAAAGGCCCACACCTCCCCCCTCTGCCCGGCTGTCTCAGCTGCCACACACACCTGCTCCTCCCCTCCCCTGCCCCTCCTGTGTCCTCTGCACCTGACAGGCCAGGAGCAAACAAGGCTGTTTGTTTGTTCCTCCCTCCCCGGGACGCACAGGGACACACAGGAGGCGCTGTGTATGCTGACACACATTGCACTTTGCAGTTACCTACTGCTTCCCAGCTTTTTCTTATGTATGCTGCTTTTAAGACTTTCTCTGAAATTCTACGCTCTTTCAACTAGACTGGAGTCAGCAAACATCTATTTGTTTGAGGTCTGTTTTATGTGCTGGGTTTATGAGGGGAACAAAGGAATGAAGAACACAGTTTCTCCCCATGGGGACCTCACAACCTCGTGGGGGGGGGGGCGGGAGGAGCACAGAGACTCATCCACCGCTAAGTAACCCCCTTGTCAAGCTCAAGGGGCCGATTCCCTGGGAATATGAAGGGCGGAGATTAGCTATAGCTTCAAAGTCCAGGAAAAGCCTCCACCAGACACCTCCAAGGAGAGGAAAACCTAGGCAGGCAAGGAGTGGATGAGATTGTGCAGAAAGAAAATGCTGCAAGAGAAGAGAGAAGGGCTAGCTGCCATGAACCCACTGGGACTCCCGGGTTTGATGGGCAAAGACAGAGGGAAGAAGGAATGATCAGAGAGGAAGGATGAGACCCGGGCAAACAACCCTTGTGCAGTGAGACTGGTCTGTTTTCCACAACTTAGACTACTTCATTTTATTTATTTTTAAAACACATTTTACTGATTTTTTACAGAGAGGAAGATAGAGGGATAGAAAGTTAGAAACATTAATGAGAGAAAATCATCAATTAGCTGCCTCTTGCATACCCCCTACTGGGGATGTGTTCACAACCAAGGTACATGCCCTTGACCGGAATTGAACCTGGGACCTTTCAGTCCACAGGCCAACGCTCTATCCACTGAGCCAAACTGGTTTCGGCAACTTAGAATTACTTTAGAGCTGGCCAGGACCTTAGCAGCAAACTAGTCAAAACCCGTTGTTATACCGAAAAGGAAGGATATGGAAGTCCATCCAAGTGGGAAGTGATTTGCCCAGAAGGCAAAACTCCGCAGGCCGACGCTCTATCCACTGAGCCAAACTGATTTTGGCAAAATCGGGACTTTTTTAAAACGCCACGGGATGCGGGACAAATTGTTAAAAATTGGGACTGTCCCGCCAAAAGCAGGACGTCTGGTCACCTTACTCTAAAATCCAGAATGAGTGTCCATTTCGTGATCGAAATGAAATGCAATTGGATTGATTTCTCCTCAGTGCTCTTAGAGGAGGGAGGGATATCTCTTTTTCCTTTGAGGGTGAGTGGGGGATAGAGCTGTGACAGAAGTGTGTGTGAAAGAGTAAATCCTTCTGAGAAATAACTATCTTAACTCCTCATAACAGACTGAACTTCCAACACCAGTTCAAGAGGCAAGCAAAGGGCTAGGTTCTTCTTAAAAAGTCACTGCCTCTCTGGCTTCAGGCCCTCTCTGCAGTACCAATATACGAACATGATCTGAGGGTCCAAAATCTCAGGGGCATTGGTGAGCTAGAAAGACAAAAAGGATTGTAATGAGTGCGACCTTTCCAAGAGGCTTGTAAGCGGATGGAGTTGGAAGGGGCGAAACGTAGTGAGAGGTTTTTATGCTCAGAAGAGAGGATAATGGAGAGGAAGGTGAGGATGTGATAGTGCCAGGGGCGGTGCTGGTGGTGTGTGGGTGTGTGCGGTGCATGTCGGGCGGTGCTGGTCAGAGAGAAGACAGACTTGTCACAGGCCCTGCTTACCAGCCCAGACCTTCCCTCAGCTCACTGTAACCTTTTCAAGACACCTCCCCCCTCGGGCTTCTGGGGTTGTCACCAGACCTCTGCACCACCTCCTAAGGCGGGGGAGGTTGAGTCCAGGGCCTGGGGCAGGTTGGGAGAGAACTGGAGTGGGGGGGGGGCGCTGGGGGTCATGGGAAACCTCATCACCCAGGCCAGGTGCAGAGCCTGGGCCTTGCCGCCCCCTGGGGACCTCACAACCTCGGAGTAGGAGGGGGGGCTCAGGCTGCCTGTTTGTTCAGCACAAACGGAGGTTCCTGTGAGGAAGTGCCCTTGTTTGTGTCCAGACTGACTTGTTTGCTGTTCACACTTGTACGGAGAGCTGCTCCGGGGAGTCCTGGCTTCAAACATGGGTGTGGGCGTGGGAAGGGGGATCCTGGGTCCAACTCAGAGCTTCCGGGGTCTAGACCCGTGGTCGGCAAACTGCGGCTCGCGAGCCACGTGCGGCTCCTTGAGTGTGGCTCTTCCACAAAATACCATGGCCGGGGCAAGTCTATTTTGAAGAAGTGGTGTTTAGAAAAAGTTTAAGTTTAAAAAAATTTGGCTCTCCAAAGAAATGCCAATCTTTTGATATTTGGCTCTGTTGATATTTGGCTCTGTTGGCTAATGAGTTTGTCGACCACTGGTCTAGAGCAGTGTTTCCCAAACTTCTCTCATGATGAGAATCACCTGGTGCAGTTGTTAAACTACAGATTCCTGAATCCCAACTAAGAAGTGCTAAACTAGAATTTTTGGGAAACAAAAAAAGCTCAGAGCACTAGTTAAGTATACAATTTTACCTATATGTTCCCAAAAATTCTAGTTTAGCACTTCTTAGTTGGGATTCAGGAATCTGTAGTTTAACAACTGCACCAGGTGATTCTCATCATGAGAGAAGTTTGGGAAACTCTGGTGTAGAGAATAGTGTGGGAAATCAAGGTCTACGAGCTCCCGATGTGGAGAGGAGCGGGTTGGACACCACTGGAAGCTCAGCCCTGCTTTCTGCCTTCCTGGGGCTGGTCCAACCAGGAGCCCCGAGTCAGAACTGACAGCAAGTCCAGCCCTCCACAAACCAGGGCAGGAACTGGGGGCTGAATCCCCCAGGATGCTGTTCAGGAGCTCTGTAGAGACAGAAGACTGGGTCCTGCCTCCCAGGAACCTAGAGCTCCAGAGGCAGGGAGGGATGCTCTGGAACTTTCTGGATGGGCGCTTCCGTGCTGGCTGGGAACACCCCTGGACTTGGTGCTGAGGAGGGCCCAGCCAGGGCTCACTGCCTGGGCAGGCTGTGCTCAGCCACGGAACAGGGCTCATGAGGCCTGAGTGAGAACTGACAGGGCACAGGGTCAGGCCCCACCCGCTGTCAGGATATGGAGGCCCTGGTCTGGTTCTGCATCTCACTCACTTAGGCCCCCTGCGAAGTGGGGTGATGGACTCAAAGGGTGTAGAGCCAGTTCATGGA